GGAAAAAAACCCTCACTTTCTTTTCTTCCTTTAGTAACAATACAGTTCAAAACACTCTCTTTGTTTTTGCAAATGTTTGTTCACTAAAATGTTCCAAAGGGAAAAATGTCAGCTACAAATCCTCACTCATCATGTATTTGCACAGCAATGCTTAAAGGTCCTTAAAGATCTCCAAGGATTTGAAGGAAATAATTCAGTAAGGTAGCAGAAACAGAGCCACTGCCTTCCAGTGTCTGGTTACATGGCTCATGCAGCATAGGACAACTTCAGGCAAGTCACAGTGAACTGGTTTCACAGACCATGCACAGAAAAATATGTTCCACCAACCAAATGTATGAAAGTCTGTTTGAAGCTAATACACCAAGGTAAGATAGCTGAAATCCACAAGATGGACTGTGGAAAATGTTTTGCTCACTGAAAGGAATACTTCTCTATTCTGCCTACCTTACAGATGCCCTGCTCCTGTTCTTGCCAAAACCACCACAGTTTCACTCAAGTTCCTTGGCACTTCAGCAAAGTCACACTTTTTTTCATATATGCTGGATGATTCTTTATATACCTGAACAACAGGTGTGTTACAGTCATGTTTTGCGTTATTCATCTTGAATGAAGTTACACTCTGACTGTGTTAACAGGAAAAGCCTGGAGCAACATTTATATTCCCAGAACATCCTAAAAATTGGGTGAGATTTTCCCAACCACATTCTGTCTGTGATGGCCATTTATGCTACAGGCAATGGGAAGGTATCAACAGCTGACAGAATTACCCTCTGACCAGTTCAGCGTCATGTACTAATTGCTCCCTCCCTCAGATGTATGTTCTGAAGGCAATAGCCATATTTCACACAGGTGACACATCTCTCTTGTTCAAGGATCCCCTATTCCCAGATTTCCCAGTATAACTGCAGACCTAAAGCCCCTGAGCAGCTGCTGTTTGACAGCTGAGACCAACAGGCCATCTCCTTTCATGTGATACCTTGTGCAGACACACATCTGTAATGTGGGGAGGTGTGTGGGGATTGCAGACACCTGGGAAGTCCATGTTCTCCTTTTAGTTTGACACTTGTGATTCATAAAGAGCATTTGGGATAGGCAAATCTGTTTGGAATTGCTGAGATGAAAGAAAAAGGAAGAAGTTCTTGTGGATCAGGGGACTCCTGCTGAGAATCCCAACAGTTAATCTCTGACCCAGAACCACTTTACACAAAAGCTAGCTACCTCAACCTTTTTGCTAAAACTTGGTTCTCAGCTTGGAACAGAGCACATAGATCTCTTTGCTCTGTGAGGTCCACCTGTAGCACCGGTGAACAGGAATTTCCAGGAACAACAACATTCCATAGAGTTAAATACAGAAATGTCAATGTGTTCTAACTACTGCTGGTACATTATTTTCTAGTAGGGAATGCTTATCTTTCCACCTCAAAGTAACATTTGACTGCAATATGAAACAACTTTCTGCTTGACAGATTTTACGATTGATCTAGTCCCACTATCCTGGCATCCATTACAACTAGTTTCCACTGTAAGGAAAAGAAAATAAAATTTTTGCAGACAAAAGTAAACAAGGAAGTTTATTTTCTGGAAAGCCTTCTTCACACATTACACATTACTCAGTTTACTTCAATGCTGTGGTTTTGGTTCGGGTTTTTTTGTTAAGTTTACCTAAAATGCATTTACGCTGGAACGGTTCTTAATTACCTTGGCAGAGTAACTTGGCATTCTCCTAAATTTGTGCTTTTTAGCAATGAGACTCCTTCCTGCCGTATCTTTTAATTATCTGTGCCTGAAAGTTGTCTCAACATTATCACCTTACAGAGTGGATAATCGAGACTTACTTTGATTTACTTGATTTCAGGCATCTCTTCCTTGTTTAAACAATTACTTGTCTCATGCTTTTTTTCCCCTCCCCTTTCCTTTTTCCTGTAGAGGAATACATTCTTACTGCTAATACACACCATAATTGCAATGTACTGGAGCATGGATATCAGTCTGAAGCCCTGTGAAACCTTGAAAGGTTTCTGAACCAAAGAGAAGGCAACTACGCAGTATCACACAAACAGCCTCTATGAAAGATCTTAATTTAAAGACCCCTTTCTGTGTTATAAATTAGTTTTATTTGTATAACATTTTCTGGTTTCCAATCTTTATAGTCCTATAACTAAGAAAGGTGGTTTAAGAAGGAAAGTCAGACTACTAAATGTCTTAATTCCTCATGAAACTGGAATTTTTAAAGGATGAAAAAAAAAAAATCTTAATTTTAAATTCTAGAAGTGATTAACTACAAGCATGAACTTATTAAGCTGCTTGTAACTAATATGCAAAACAGCAGCACTGCAGGCTTTCCTATCCTAGGCACTTTTCTCCCATCGTCCACAGCTGATTCACTACAAATTCAATGCAATGGTTACAAGTATCTCAATCTGTAGTATACAGATCCATAGCAACACTGAGGATCTCTTATGTTAATTTCTATGCCCAGAAGCTTTTCTGCAACACTGAATTAAAGAAGCCACTGTATCATTCCTATAACAAGATGATTATCTTAGAATTAAGACTAAGTAGAAAACTCTTTTCAAAGAGTTAGTCTTCCAAAGCCTTTAGAGATCAGACAAAATTACTTATATGGCTTACATCATCAGTTCTCAAAAGTTACATATCTGCACACATTCTATTCTAAGGAGAAAAGATGTTATGTTACACTCCTTATTCATGATTCCATTTTTAATGTGGTAGATAATCTCCTTGGAATCACTGATTTTTAATGGGGTATTTTGAAAGATTTATTTTATTGCTGTTGCAGTTGAACAAACTAAGAGAACTACAACATCACTTACCAATAATCCATTAGTGTCACATCCCAAATTCTTCAGACATGAAGGTGAGAAGTTTTTCCTCCTTATAGTGTCAAAACATATCTGGATGTCTGCTGAGTGAGGGCTTAACGGTTTTAGAGAACAATACTAGTAAAGTCCTAAATCTGTGTGATAATTCTCAGTGAGCAGTCATCTTTCTCGTCTATTTGCAAAAGTCACAGAGGGTATCAGAGGTTCATTCTTTGCAGAGGAACATCTGTCATCCCTGGTATACGTTCCAGATGTGTCAAAGCGTATCAAAGGAGAAAACACACATAGTAGAAATCCAGAGGAGTGAATCCTGGCCCTATCTCACCACTCTACTAGTATGGTACACTATTCTAAGTAAGGAAGAGAAGAATAACCTATGAGTTGAGCCATGACTGATGCAGTGCTGCTGGCAGGTCCTCACAGTGTATCTGGATTTCTCCAATAAGCCGCAAGAGTAATCACAGAATAATACTGCCTCTGTTTCAGAGAGCAGGGAATGAGATTTCTCCAAACCTTCAGCCTTAGCAGAGCTGCTTACACTAAACGTAGGATTTTCCCCTAAAAGATGATATAACAACAAAGATAACTGCTTATTTGGTATCACTGGGAAGCATGTAGACAAAAAGCAGCAACAAGTCATGTCATGTCATTCAGCATGAATGAGTGGACAGGTTAGTTCCAGAAATGGGTTCAACATCCCAATTTTTACTAAAAATGTTGATTGTACTCTATCATCATGATAGAAAATAATCAAATATATTTTCAGCAGGATCTGCGTGAGCAGCTTTCAATGTCTATGTACTTGTGCTGATACGATGGTGCACTCCAAGTGACAATATGAAGTTATCCATACATGCAACAAACTTGTTTTTGGATTTCCCTGAAGGATACAGTCTTGTTGTTCTTTGCAATTAACAGTACTTATTGTCTTACCCTAACCTATATTCCTCTGCTGCACACGCCATTTATGTGAGCGTGAGAACCATGCAAAAATTAACGACTCAAAGCTTTCAGATGACCACTGCATTTGCATTTCGCTTTCTTCACGCAGCAGAAACATATAACACCACACGAAAAGGGTAAAAAGGAAAAAAAACCAAAAAAAATAAAAATCCACTGAACCACCATGAAAACTAGGCATAGAACAATCTGTTCATCTGGTCTGCATCACACATCAAATTCAATAGAACAATAGGGTCAAATTCCTGGATGAAGAAGAAAATAAAAAAACCTATAGGTTTTTGGAGCACAACATGAAGCATTTTCCTGTCATCTTCAAAAAACACTGCAGTTAGGTTTATTATCTGCCTTTCTACAGCACCAAAAAAAAAGTCTCAAAGAAGATAAATTATTTTAAACCTCAGTTTTAGAAAATTGGGTAGTTAGCAGCTTATCTGTCTCTTGATTTGGAAACAGAAAATTGAGAAAAAAGCACATACGTAATAGCTGTTACTTGTCAGTTTTTGAGACAACTGTTAGTATTAGTTAGACAAGTACCCTGTGCACTCCATGGTCATATCAGTGCTGCCATAAGGTGTTTTGAAACCTGAGAGATTGTTCAACAGTGTATAAATAAGTGTCAGGAAAAAAGGAATTAAGTCTTTTTTTTTTCTCTCTGTTGAACATCAACAATAGTATTCTGCAACAAACCATTATTGGCTCTGACATCTATAGTAAAGGTCTACTAGTGTATAAGGATGAGAAGAAGAAAGGAAGAGAACAAGACAAAACCAGTCAATCAGTGAAGAGCAGGACTAGAATATCAGACAGTCATGCACTGCCAGACATATGGAGGAAGGCAGTTGTTCACTCTTGCTGTGACTAAATGAGCACAAGATGTTAGGATAGTCTGAATACCAGGAGCTCAGTACCAGTACAAAACCGAAACACAGGTAATTTTTTTTTAAGTAAGTATAATTATTTTTTTTTTTTGTGAAAAGGTTTTGGAACTAAAAAATGAAATATGCAAACACTGTAAAAATCAATAATTTCTTGGTATACAGAAATAAAATATTCATAAAATCATAGAATCATGAATATGGTGAGTTGGAAGGGACCTATCAGGATCATCAAGTCCAATTCCTGGCCCTGCACAGGACGCCCCAAGAATCACTTATATTCTGACCACAGGAAAGAGGTATTAAAAGTTTTACTTACTTTGGATGGGCAAATTCATCCACTAGGACAACTTTTTCTATCAAGTCTCCACCAACAGTTCGAACCAAATCATAGAAATCATTCTCAGAGTATGTCTCAGAAGGCAGCCAAAAGGAGATGTCATTGATCAAAGGTGGATATCTGCTGAGTGGCTAAAAAAAAAATTAAAAAACATACTGTTATACGTGGCTGGACTTGGTAAGTATACCTAAAATTGCTCTGAATTTGTATAACACAGAGTACACATTTTAGAGGCTTTCTGAAATGCTTTTTGGAGTGCAAACTAACCTCATAAACAACTGAGATCCAAGATTTTTTACTAGGAAATATCTTTTAAAGACCCCCTCATAACCACTTTGATTTATTCATTCAGAAGAAAAAACTTGTTTTGTTTGCTAAAATCAGCATTTATAAGCCTGAATACACTTTTGGTCAGAGTTGTTTCAAAGGATGAGATCGTTTTAGGGTGATTATTCACTGGGTAGAATTGCAATTTGTAAAAGCATTTTTCAGACTTTTTACAGTCAAAAATTCTTATCACATTCATGTTTAAAATTTACATGTATTTTATATGATTCTTATATGACACAACATGTTGATTATTTATACTGTCCAATTTCTAAGGAAGTTTTATCAATAGGTGCCTTGTTATTTAAAGCTTATAAAAAGAAACATGCTTTGCCTTAAAAAGAGGGATCAATCTACTTCCCATTAGTATAGTCATCCAAACATCTACAACAAGAAAGGTATTGCTGTTAGCATAATTATTCATTCCACAAGTACCACAACAGGTTTTTAAACACAAAGGTGCATCTTTGCTGCAGGTATAAAGACCTGATCTTGTGGGAAGACAGTGTTTTGCAAAAACAGGAAGAGAAACAAAATCAGGTAATTATTAATTTTCCGGTTTTGATGGAAATTCCTTAGACTCAGTGGGTTTCAGATCTCACCTTTAGTGAAATGTTTCTCCCTTGGAAGAATAGAAAATGGTAATGCTCTCTTTTCATGACCTCTAGGTCATACAGTGTCTTAGTTTCGTCTTCCATTAATATCCTGCAGTTGAAAAAAGTACTTTTGCACAAGATTGTTCAGGTCTGCAAGAAGAAACATCTTCTTTTTTTTTTTTTTTAATTTCGTTTATATGTATTTGACATCCCATATGGACACTTTGGTCTATACAGTATATTATCTCACTCAAAAATGTATTCCATGCCTGGGAATGTTTTATGATGGAGCAGTGAAAACTTAAGCGAGTACCTGCTAAAGCAATAAACCTGCTAATAAGGCAAGTTTACAGCATGGTGATTTACTCAAATACTGTTCTGTAGAGTGTAAATGAGTCAATAATTATCTGATAAGGAACAGAGTGCAAGTTTTAAATTAATAACCCCTCCAGTGAATAAAACTGTGAATCACAAATGATTATCCAACTTGTTAAAGGAATAAAGTTGTCAAATGAATTCATATCCTGTACACCAAATTATAAAAAAACAATACCTGCACAATTGTCTCTGCTATACAAAAGTCACAGCTGCAAATGCTGGAGATGCTCCTCAGTCAACAAGCTGGTACATGTGTTAGCATAAATAAAGTTAAAATCCTGCAGTAGCCACCTATATTCCTACTTCAGCCCCATCTACAACTATATTTATCACTGCTCTATTTCAGGAACCTGTTGAACACACCTCAAAGCTTGTGGGGACTAATCCAAAACTCACTGAACTCCCAGTTTCAAGACATTTAATTATTCAACCAGAAGATGTGGTTCATGAGCCTAAGCATGACTTGGTACCTACTTCCACTCACACAGGTATAAGGACACTAAAGAAAAATAATTAGATGCTCAAGTAATTCAGTAATGCCCTAAACCCCAAAAGGAATAGAGCACCCAAAAGTCATAGTGAATATTTGCTATTGATTTTAAAAGAATCAGGAATATGTCAGGCACATGAAGACAGCACTGTTTTTCCCACTTAAAATGAGATGTGCACAAGGACCCAATGTGGTCAGATCTTGCAAATGTAATTGGCACAGTTTGACTTACATTATCAGTGTCATCAAATTCCATGTGAGCAAAGTTGCTCAAAGATGTAATAAATTGTCGAGTCTGGCTTTTGTGGATTATCAACTGTATAGGAAAACTGCTTCTTCGACTCAATCCATGGTGTCACTAGCCTAGGTATGCTTGTGTGTGTTACAAAGACTAGAAGGACAAATGCTTGAAACATAACATAAGCAAAACTTTTCTATTATTAGGTACTGACCTTTTCTCAGAGCCTTATAATGCAGAAAAATCTTTTATGGTAAAAGGCAAGGCAATTATTCCGTATTATACTGTCCCTTTACCACCTGGCTGCAGTCAATATCATTGCAGTGAGTATTATATCAACGCTAAAGTTAGTACAAGGATAAAATCCCTAGTTCTAAATGTATTGATCTGTTTGTTGTAGAGCTACATGAGCTACATAATAGTTTTTTAGCTACACATAAAGTGCAAATAGGCTAGTAAAAGAGTCTCCAATTGGCAAGTCAAAATGAAGCTCCTAAGTTTGTATCCAGGCACCCCAGCAAACACATACCGTGGTCTAACTGATCCCTTGGCCGTTCTTTGATCCTTTCTAAACTCTCTTGCTCTTTAGCAACAGACTGGTCTAAAGCCCATTAATCCTTTTCCAAGATCAAGGCAAATGCCAGCCCTGGAGACCATTTCCTTATGAATTTACAGACACTTTAAATGTTCCCCTTGAGAAGAATGTCTTCTTCTACTAAATCTTCTACTCTGCTATCAACTCCAGCCACTACTTCCAGCTACATTCTCTTCATGGCTTAGAAGTTCTCCAGCACACTGCTGGGAGAAGCTAACAGGACACCACTTGGCTCTGTTCACCAGTTTGTGTGTTGGCCAAATTCTAGCACGCTATCCAAGCCTGGAAGCCCTGCTGTTCCTCCTTCCACTCCCTGACCATCCACCCCCCTTAGGTTTTTGGGGAACTGAAAAGAGGCTTAGGAAAAGGTAGAACTGATCACACCCACAGAGTATTGCTGCAAGGCACTGGCCAGGAGTGGCAGAGAGCATTGCCAATGCACAGACGGCTCTGAACCACTCCTTTTGGTTCTGTCAGAGCTCTGCCACCACAGTGCTATTGAATGTTCTATTTACTTTCCATTTCAAACACTGCAGTGTACTATCTTTGACAGTTTTCAACAGCATTGAACAGTGCTTTCCCAGTAATTACACTACCCATAGGACTCCACTGAGCCCATGTTGTAGGAAATATTGCAAATAATGACATCATGTTTTTAAATCATTAGGGGTGAAAGCATTTAGGAGTGCTGAATTACTATCATTTTTTAAAATTATAAAATAGGACCTTATGATGATCCACCCTCAAGGATACATATTTACTAGTCATTAGTCACACTTCCTTCTCTGGTTAATAAATAAGCCTTGTACTTACTAAAACTGCAAGCTTTTCCCTCTAAGGATGCTAATTCTAGTAAAGAAATGAGTAGCTGGACACCAGTGATATACTCTGTTTTGCCAGCCAGCCTTGCGTATGCCTAAATGTACCTAAGGAGTGCACCACTGAAACACAGGGCTGTGACTCCTCTATATGGGTTTGTGATAGTTGAAAGCATTCCTTATCCTTACCTCTCTGCTCTGCCTTTCTGTTGGAGATTCCTGCCCCTGCAGCAGCTGATAAAAACATGTGCCTGTTTCTCCACCGCTGCAGTTCACGGCCTGCCATAGGCCAGCTGAAAATTGCCCCTCTTAGTGGTTTATGCTAATACATGCTGGATGTATTGCAGCAGCTTGAGACACTGGGGGACAGCTGTCTTAAGCAGCAACAAGATCCACTAGAACTCATTTGTCAGCACAAAATAGGAAAAATCCTCGGGCTCTGTGCACATTGCCACATCAAGGCGCTACTCTGGACACTTTGGCAGAAGGAATCAAGTTCAAGTGGTCACCACAAGAACAGTCTCTGTTCATCTGCACTCAGCAAAGGAGCATCAGCTAGGCTGGATCCAGATACCTCACAGCTGCACAGGAGAGAAAATCCAATATGTGGCAGAACCCCCTAGTCTGGAGGAAAACCAGCAGGGGATAATACACAGGCAGTGCCAGCAAATAACCTACAAAAGACCATGAAGTGTCTTTAGCCCAAAAAATAGGATGAACACCAGCCTTTTCCATAAATATTTGCCATTAAGAAAAAACCCCACACTTTTCCCCAGATGCAGTAACCATGAGTGCAGTATGGAGAGGGGACAGGAGAAATTTTGTGCAGTGGACTCTCACTCAGTTCCTTCCCTGCTGCCGGCTGCAGATGGGGGAACACAACAAACGACAAACACAGCAGAGGAAAAATCTGTACTTGTATTTTGACAGCGGCAACACAAATGCAAGGTTAATGACAACACATACCAAAAACTGGGTTAGCAATTCCACAGCAGGCAAGTTATTAAAAAGCCAACCATGCTTTACTGCCATCACCAGTCTAAGTCAGAAAAATATGAGACTTAGTAGCCTTGTGGCTGTCAAGTTTTAAAAGTCTTGCATTGCCCATGCTTTGGAGAAATATCTACATAAACAATACAGTTTTAATGCAACATTATATTCACATCAAAATGAAAGCTACAGTCCTGTAATATGCCTTTCTTAATATATTCCACGGGGAAACTACATTAATACAGCATTATCATAGGAAATTTAAACACGTAACAGGCATGAAATTCAAATTTGCAAATTTACAACTGTAACTTATCCCTCTTGCACATAATGAAGTTTCCTGTATTAGTGTGTAAGCTTTTAGATTTATACTTCCGTATTTATGACCAGCGTAGACAAATTACAGTTGCTGCAGGGAACATAATTTTGAATTTCTTGGCTGCCATGGCTTAAAATTCACAGTCACAATGTTCCTTCCCTATTATAAGTTTTCTACCCCTCCCTTCATCAAATGAATTTTTTTCTCAGTATATATAGTAAGTTCTATATATTCATACATGTATATACACACACACATACACATTTTTATGTGTAAACACACACACATCTTCAAAGAAGGGAGTGGAGAAATTTCAAAAGAGAACTTCCATAAAGTCTGATAAGCAAGTATAAAAATATGTTCTGAGATTGAGGTCTTAA